CTATTAAGCATACCAAGTAAGATTTATTCTAAGATCTTAGAAAAGAGAATAAGATGAAGAATCGAAGGATTACTTGAAGAAGAACAATAAAGCTTTCGGGAAAATCGTAGCACCCAGAACTTTATCTTTACCATGAGACAAGTTTTTGAAAAAGTATTGGAAAAAGTAAAGGAAATGTCTGTGTGCTTTGTTGATCTTATAAAAGCCTTCGATCGGGTGAGAAAGTCTGATATCTTGGAGGCCTTGAGAGAAAAAGGGATTGATCAAGGTCATGTCTTGGCGATTGAGGGTCTCTACAAGATAACATGAAACATAGTTAGATTTGTCAACTCCACTTCACAGGAAATCAAAACAACAATTGGAATCCGGCAAGGTTGTAGTGTTAGTCCACTTTTGTTTATACTAGTAACGGACTCAGCAATACGAAGGGCTAAAGAAAAATGCGGAAATTTCACCTGAGATCAGTGAGCCTCTAAATACTTATATTTGCTGATGTTTTTCGGACAGTGACAGAAATCTTCAGTACAATATTAATAAATTAAAGGAAGAATTACGGAAGATTAATACGATTATTAACTCTGTAAAAACAAAAGTAATGAGGGCTGGGAAGAAGCCTAGGAGAAATATGCTCGTCATCAGAGTCGAAGACGAACTCCTCGAGCAAGTGGAAAGCTTCAAATACCTCGGCGCACACTTTAATGAAAATGGATACATCGATTTAGTGGTGACTGAGCGAATCGCTGCTGCGAGTAGGATGTTTGAAACAGTCAGGAGAGGTTTTCTAAACAGGCGAGAGGTGGAAAAGAAAACAAAGGTGGCTGTTATCAGATCGTCGGATCGTCATTTATTCCCATTTTAACGTACTCTTCAGAATCATGGACGCTGACAAAGAAACATCAATCAAGGATACAAGCCTCAGAAATAAGATTCCTCCGAAAGATTGAGGGGAAAACAAAAAGAGACAGAGTATGCAACACCACCATCAGGTTGAACCTCAATATTAAGCCGGGCAATAATGTGATAGAAGAGAATCGACTGAGATGGATAGGATTTCTTCTGCGAATGGAACCGAACAGGATAGCTAGCGAAGCCTATCGAGCTAAATTAGCGGGCAACAGAGGAAGAGGACGACCTAGAAGGAAATGGGAAGATGAGGTGAATAGCGACTTCCAGGGAAGAGGTCTTCAATGGAATGATGGAAGGCGTCTTGTGGAAGACCGACAGAGCTAGAGAAGGCTCTATAAACTTCCTCCTCACACTGCTTAATGCGGTTCGAGAGGATAGATTATGATAATGATGATGGAGATGTAGCTCATGCTGAAGGGAACAATATTTTTGTAAGCCATCTTTCTTTTTCGATTTAGTGTTAAAATTATCTTACAATTCCAGTGGGAAGCAAATGGCTATTTACGAGTTTTTAGTACCTAATTAAATAAACAAAGTTTACCGATCACGAGATTTAAAAGGCCCCATTTCAGATAATTTTCGTAAATGAAAATATTGTTGGCTACGATAAGATGAAGCCATTCACTATGTTTTAGATGGGTGTTAATAATTTGATAAAATGGGTTTTGTATCCCGGACTATAAAGTATTTTATTTAAATATCACGACTGTGATAGATGCTTCGTAAGTTTTGTCGTAATTATTTTATAATACAACATTTTATTTTTTATTAAATAAAATTTACTACTGTAATAAAAGTATAAATACAGTTTACTGTCAAAAGTAAACTATTGTAAACTGTTCTCAAATTGAACAGGTACACATACAATAATGTAGATATAATACATTTTCTTTTACCACTATGATTTGAATTTTTTTTCTAGTTGGAAATAAACTATTTCTACTACTTATCCACTATCTTTATTTTAATCTCTATGAAGCTATGAAAAATAAATTCCTTAAATTGCGAATGGTAAATTGAGAACATTGTTCCAGCTTCTGAAGTATTATCTTCGCTATCGATAAATCTGGAACAGTGTAGATCACAAGAGATGAATCTAGTCGGCGGTACAGAACCCATTTTATCAAATCATTAACCATTTGTACCCGGTACCTTTTCGGACGTTACCTACCAGCAACACGAAGCACATTGGTTCCAAACTAGATTGTTTTGGTTATAATTCTGTTATTCCGTAATTTTTAATCAGATTTCCTTGTTTCTTCGTTTTATACAATCACTGCTAAATATATTCCATTATCAGTGCAATGAATTATCAGGAATGATATATGAAAATACAAAAATAAATGACACTACGGTACAGAACGTGAGATATCTTATTATAAAATTTAATTTCTTTTTCGTGCATGAGAAATTCTTTCATTGACTTTTAAAGACATTATATATATATATGATATTATAACTTCTGTTTTTTTTAAATCTTGATAAATTTGATTATTTCAAATTTAGTCATTAAACTGAAAAAAGTAATTTCTCAGATGATAATTATTTCTATTTTTATAATACTGTGAATTTCAGAAAATGTCAGTGTCTGACTTTCAACGATATTGTTAACGAGCAAAATAATATTATCATTTTTTTTAAATACTTGTACATGAAACAAGATTTAGGACTTCAATATGGAATTATTATATCTTAGTTTATTATTCATAATATTTATTTATCATGAATCTTGATATTTTTATCATATTTTGATATGTTTTTTGTGCCATTTTAATATAAAGGAAAACAGGAAAACTTCGTGAATGGCATAATCTTATCGCGACTTACAATTTAAATTAATTAATTTGATAAGATCATAGAAAAGCATGAAAACCCATTTCCTTTCCATTTGAATCGTAAGATAATTTTATTACAAAATAGAGAAAAAATATGGCTTACAAAAATATTTTATCCACCATTTTGTCTACATAATCTCGTTATTTTGACTTTTGTGGATTGAGGTCATGCCAAACGGTATAATATGTTCGCATGCCATATTTTTTTCTCGATTTCGTAATCAAGTTATCTTACCACCCAAGTGGAAGACAAATGGTTGCTGATGAGTTTTTAGTGCATCATTGAATTAATTAATTTAATTTTTAATTTAACTAATTTAAATTTAATTTAATTGGTCAAATTTAATTAATTTAAATTTGATTAAATTAATTAATTCAAGGAGAAAACTTGGGGCATTCGGAGAATTTAGGCTATTTCTGAGACAATGCGCCATTCAGATAATTTAAAGTAAAGATACTTTTTATTTTATTTTTTTAACACTGTTCTATATTAAGTAATATTAAATTTTGTCAAGATTAGGGACATTAGCATCAGCTGGAGTTCATTCGAACTGTATTTACAATAAATAAAAATAAAACAAAAAGATACTTAAACTAATCCAAATAACAACTTAAATACAGGCAGACTTATATATAATATTTACAAACATTCATTCAGGAGAACCCCGAGCAAAGGTTTTTCCTCCCACATGTGAAAGGAAAAGCAGAACTCCGGGAGATCCCAGAACCGCTCTCTCAGCCGCTTCACTGATATTAATCAGCAACGACGGCTGAGCCTAGGGGCTTTTAAATGTTTTAAAAATTACTTTTTAAACATGGGAACCAAATTCAACACGTTTTCTCTTTTCTTTAGATGATTTTTTTTTGTTAATTTAGTAACCTTTCTATTTGAAATGTATGAGATTTATATAAAATGTATAATTTTTGAATTAAGCATTAATAAACTTTTCTTTTTGTTATGACTGTTTCCGAGTTATTTTCTTCTTCGGGAATGTACTTTATAATAAAAAGTTAAAGGGTTTCTAGATAAAGACTTCAGGTTAGTTTCAGCGAAATCGATTGAGCAATTTTGGCGCTAAAGTGCATAGAAATACAAATTTTTCGACTATTGAGCACAGATTGCCTAATTTGTTGCACTTTGCAGTAAGCATTACGGACTAAAACACTACGAAAAGACTTAACGAAATCGGTTCACGAGATAATGGTGGCAAAGACATAGAAATTTATGACCGGAAATGCAATAATGTTTTGCCCACAAAAGGCAGTGACGTTGAGATACGTTGAAAACCGGATACAAAAACTTTGACCTGATTACAATAAACTTTTTATTACGAGGAAAATAAGTTGAATGAAATAATTTGGCCCATATTACTTTTTTTTTTTCGATTTTGTGCTCAAATTATCTTACGATTCATTTGGAAAGCAAATATGTATTTACGAGTAGTACCTAATTAAATAGACAAAGTTTGCCGACCTCCAGATTGAAAACGTGCCAATTCCGAGAATTTTCGTAAATAAACTATATGTAGTTTACGATGTGATGAAGCTATTTACGAAGTTTAAGGCGGATGTTAATAATCTTATAAAAAGGGGTCTCTACCAGGGACTGAAATGTCTTGTTTGAACCCTGATATTTCTTTTATAAAAATCGAGGAATGATCTTCAAGAATGATCTTCAAGGATGGAAAAGGGTTTTATTAAATGAATTAATATTTCAACATTTTGATGTAAAGTGTAGACGTTGTTAAATGTTATACAAAATCTGCTACGAATCATGAGCTTAACGGTGATGGTTGACAAATGTACGGTAAGTTATGCCTCAGAATATTTAATGTAAACTACAATAAATTTAAATGCGCAAAAGAAAAAAAAACGAAGCTTCTTGTTTCTACTATATAAAATCATTTAATTGCCTGAACGCTAAAAAGTTTATTGATTTAACGTATTATACAATAAGGTTAAAAATGAATATTTACACAAGTGTAATAAGAATGATGACGACATTAATATATATTCATTCCATGTAAACCAAACGTAATTATAAAGGCATTTTCAGCGTGTTTTGTATAGTGCGTAACTATCGCCTGTAGCTTCCACCTTTAAAGCCAGTTATGTTTGAAAACGGTACAGTACTCGGCGGATCCTGTAGGCAAGCGATACGCAGCCGATGTTTTAACTCGACCGTACATTTCCGTTTCGCGACAGATTTGCTGAAGGATTATCACCATTCCTTGTTTCGGATCAAAAATGATTTAGATTAATAGCACAACAAGGAGATAATGGAAGAACAATATTTAAACACCAAACTCCAATCACTTTCATCCAATTCTCATATCAGCTGAAACTGTCAACTCCTGACTCTACAATCAAGTAAGGCTTAGTTTTATTTCTTTATAAGATTTACTTTCTAAAGTTCAAAGTTCAAAGTACCAATTAAAAAAAAAAAGTCTTATTATACGATTGAACTAACTTGTTAAAGATAGGTATATTTCTTTCAATTAGCTTTATATATGTAATATATAATAAGAGTGCGATCGTGAAAATTTTCGAATCTGAGGTTTAAACGGAAATAAATCTTTTGAGGTCTCCTGAGTCCAAACAACCAATTGTCACAAAATGTTCTGTATTTATGTATGTTACGAGTCGAGCTCAAAAACGAAAAGTCGTACGAAATTGTGTTACCCAAAATAACTATGTAGAAATCGAAGCATCATAAACGCAAAATAAACTACTAGCTCCACTAAGCTCCAGACTGGGAGTTATTCCATTCGATTGTAGGCATCAAAACGTAAATTCTTTGGAAAACATTACTTGTTCATATTATCTTATTTAGAAGTACGAATGATTTTTCTGTGTAAATATTTTATGTAAGTTAAAGAAATTGTTAGCCGTATAATTCAATTAATGACATTTACACCAGAATTAACGTTATTTATTTACTTATTTCTTGACAGTTAGTACTTTAATTACAGTTATATCAATTAGAGAAGATTTATTACGGTTAGTGTTGCCCAAAATAGGTCTTGCACTTTGCAAGACCAAGACCAAAGGCGCCTGTTGCAAGACCAAGACCAAAGCCGCCTGTTGCAAGACCAAGACCAGGACTAGTAAAAATATCGATTTTTTAAATTAAAAATGAAGGCAAAATAATTACTAATACTTGACAATCTTAGTTACTATATGATAATTATTGGTATAACCAATTTCCTTTTGCATTTAACTCCTCTACTTTTTTCATTCAGGCTTAGTTAGGTTTCTCCTATCTAAAAAAATACAGTAATATCTCTATAGTAATAAGCTAATAAGTAACTGTAATAGGCAACTGCAAGACTGTTGCGAGACTCTTTCGCAAGACCAAGACCATGACCAAGACTGAGTTTGCAAGACTAAGACTCGTCTCGGTCTCGCTTTTGGGCAACACTAGTACGGAATTGAAATTGCATATTTAAGGTTTGTATATGTTTGTGATGTTACAGCAACTTTTTCATTAAAATCGCCTAACCGGAAATGTCACTATATATTTTCGATTTTACATATTTTTATACTTTTCTCAAAAACATCTCTAACGATGTCGAATTAATTCATTATATCAGTGTAAAATTAAGCGGTTTTCTTTATAATGTTGGGCTTATTCTCATTGGTGTTATTTGACAGGGCTTAAATACCTACTTTGCAAAATTTCTTCCTCCAAAGTACCTTTATTTATTTATTTTTTAAAACAATTAACCGTTTTATATTGTGGTATAAATGAAAATCTCGTGTTTTCACTTTAGTAAACGAATACAATTAGTAAACGGAGTATCGATGTTTTTATTTCCTACCATTGACATAATTAACAGTGTTTTTGTTACTTTGATTGTCTTACTGATTTGTTAGCTGTAAGCTTTAAGCTCCGTTAAAATTACACTTAAAAAAGTTTATAATTGATCAACATTGTCAGAAAATAATTTCTATTCAAAGTAAAGAGGTAAGAGAAAGTTGTGTGTTGTGCGCACCAGATTTTTTCATTTATCTTCAAACGAGGTGATATTATTAATATTGTATTTTTTAACTTCTACCACCGGAGGATTGTGATAAATGCATCAAATATTTTCTCAAATTAATGCAAGATTATCTCTAGATTGAACTAAACATTGCATAATAATAAAAAAAAAATAGTGACAAATCATTTGTCCAAAAGTGATTCATAACTCGCTGATGGTGAAATATAATTGATGAAGGAAATAGGCTATTAATATATATATATATATATATATATATATATATATATATATATATATATATATATATATATATATATATTAGGTAATCAAAGTTTAGCAACGCCGAGCGTGACTAGCACGTGGATGGGTGGCCGTCCACCAAGGAAAGCCACGCTGCCCGAGATTCCTCCCGTCCCCCGGATATGTGAGTACCGTCATCCTACTGGAGACAACTCACACGGACCGGGCGTAGTATTGATGACCCTATCCCGTACTTTAAATCGGGAATGTGGATGTGAATGAATGTGGACACTCGCGGTCAAAGATCTTCATGGTCTGTAGCGACAACCGAAAAAATAAAATGAAATAATATATATATATATATATATATATATATATATATATATATATATATATATATATATATATATATAATTATATTTTCTAATACTATTTTCTGGTAGTTCTAAGTGAAACTCCTAGCTGAACACACCTCCCTGAAGAAGACCTGCAAAGTCGGATCGAAACGTTGGCTCTTAATAAAATAGTTTTGCCACTATTTAGCCTTTTTATGACCGCCACCCAGGATCTCCTTCCTTTATAATGCAACAGTCAACTATTAAATATTCAATAATTATATTTTCTTGTTATTATCACAGAGGTTTGTTATTATTAAAAATGACAAGGAAAGTCTATATGTTTGATTTATTTATTATTTTATATATTAATTAGGTTCAACACCTTTAAGCACCAACGGATCTAGGATTTAATTTGGGGGGGGAGGGCTTCAGCCTGAAAGATTTTTTTTTGTATGTATATATTAGGATAATTACTTCGGAAGAAAGAAAGAAACTAACTACCTATATGAAATGGTGTTTAAGTGATTCTTCAAGTCATATTAAATGTTATTAGACGAACAATAAAACTTTTAGAGATAATTCTTTTCATAAAAAATGGTTATATTTTACCATTATGGGGAGGGACTTCAGCCCGAAAGCCCTCTCCCGTATATCCTCCTGTGCCGTTAAATACTCCATAACTGGGTGGTTATATCCTTGGTTATTAAACTGTTTGAGCAGGAGTGGGAAAGTCCTTTTTTTAATGGATGAAGATGCGAAAAAAGATTTTCGAAATTTTTTTTAGTTTAGTTATATTTTGAAGTAGAGATTAATTTTTGGTTACACTGATAGATTTCATTGCAAAATATATAGAATCCCGTTCCAATTTGTCGTAAATAAAGTACTTATTAAAGATAGACAATCAATTGTAATATAAAGTTGACAAATAACCATAAATCAGTGATTTTTGATAAAATTTATTATGTTTCAATCCAATCTTGGAAGCCCATTTCGGAGAGGGGTTTCAGCACGAAAGATCCCCCCCTTATCCCCCATCCTCTATCCTCATCCCACCAAACCGGTGGTTATGATCCGCCAGTGATGATGACCATGGCAAAAAATATTACTTTTAAACTGGGAATCCTCCAACATCACATATATTATTATTTTTAATTTAATAAATTTATAATAAATTAATAAATAAAATAAAATAATCAAATAAAAATAATTTAACAAATTAAATGTAATAAATTTAATTTAATAAATTACATTATGAAACACCTTCTAGTAGAATGTTCCCAATTCGAAAGGCACAGAGAAAAAATAGAACTATGAAAAACATTAAACGAAATACTACAAGATAATGAAGAAAGAGTGTCGATCGTGTTTAAATTTTTAAAAATTGTAAACTACTATAATAGAGTATAAATTATAGAAAACGCCAATGACCCTTTAGTGTAGAGGCGAGAAATAAGGGAAAAAAAAATTACATTAAATTTATTTTTGCCTTCACTTATTCGATTTTGTCCCACCTATTTTCAATATTTTTTTTTGTTTGTATTCTTTAATAAAATTAGTTGTCTGATAATTTAGCAACTCAATATAGTTGAGCATCCGTGCAATATTATTCCAGTTTTAGTTTCTCAAATCTTAAGTTTTCGACTTAAGATATATTATATATCTATACTACTACACTTATTCTCGGAGTTTATTTTCAACCAAGGAAAATATTTCTCACAATTTCCTCCTTTGGTTAATTACCAAACTCTTTCAAAATTAATATTTATCCACTTTTTATTACTTCTACCAATGAGAAACGTATAATTATTTAAAATAAACCAAATTAAAGGTAATTTGGAGGAAGGAATTATGAAAATCCGTGGATTAAGACCTGCCAAACTATTTTAATGAGGGTGAGACCTGCCTGATATCAAAGATCATTAAATCTTACATTGATGTAACAAGTTTAAACAGAATCGTTTTGTCTGTTTCGAGAACATTGCAAAACGAATAAAGAAGGTAAAATTAATTATATTATGTTGCGCTTCTGATGTGTCGATCTTATATCGACATATTATCTTCCAGAGATAATACCTATTTTAAAAAAGCAATTTCCTACATTTCGTTTTTTATCTAGGTCGTTCACATATATTTCGTAGCCTTGGTTATGTAGATTTTAAGGATCACAAGACTTCGAAAACCATATCGTTGTTGGGTTTCTATTTGGAGCAACTTTTAAACCAGGGAACAAGAAGAAACATGGAACAGACAGCAAGGAGAACAATGAAATTTCTTTCGATAGGGAATCATGCGACCTTGGGTGGATGGCCAATATATATACTTAAAATATATTTCAAATAAATGTAAGTGAGAGTAATATTACATAAATGGATTTCTAATGGCATCACTTCACTTGATATGTTGTAAAAAATGTTGTTTTGTTCATTATATATTTCTTTGGGAACGTCCACAGTGTAAGGAAGTGAACTTGGTTGCTTACATCGATATGACTCTATGGGAGTTTGTCCTGAAGTCCTTACCTGAGGAATACAGAGCCTAGTATTTGTCGGACTTCGGAAAGAAGTGTCTTAAGGAATTTTGATTAAGTTAAGAATGTCAACATTCCGAAAAGTATGGACAAAGAATGTGTAACGCTGCTGACCTCGGTAAATGTGTCAAGAATAAACGTCCTGGAGGGCCGGCCACGTGCTACGGGTGGAGGACACCAAAGTGTGAATATGAGATGAGTCCTCAGGTTTTGGTCTTCCTTGTTATGGAGCTCCGGGAATATTGAGAAATGCTGAAGAATACCGAGTTGCTGCAAGATGCA